TATCTATATGGCAGGATGTTCCGCATGATTCAACTTGCTTTCGTTCGTCTTAGTTTCGCCATAGCGCAAAGATTTAAAAATAGTGCCAGCCCCACTCAAAATAAAAGCTTTTATTACCTGCTGTTCTAAAAATATAGTAATCACTTCCTTAGCGCAAAATACAAGGAAGTAGAGTGAGGTCACACAGCCAGATAGTTTTTCCCCGTTGGACGGCCACAAACTAAAGGAAAGTTGGCCCTGCGAAGGACAGATAAAGAAATAGCGATGCTGTTCTTTTTAATTTTTAATTGATGTGTGGGCCTGGAACAAAGCTTTTTATGTTCGCTTCGAAAGTTGATAGATGGGCTTTTAGCTAATAGCTGTGTTGTCAGGATGGTAAATCATTCAGATTACTGGCATGGACCGATTTATCAAGTGAATTGGCAACTGCCCGAGTCATGACTTTCAGGACATTGTTATCGATTTCAGCGCCTTAACTTTGTTAACGGGAGGAATGTAGCGCTTTGTCGTGATGATGGATACCCCAGGTGTCGGCTTCAGGCTTTCCCTGTGCATAACACAGCCAACAGACCAAAGTTGGTTGAGAGAAGTGGCTGACAACACTCGCTGATGAAGTTTCACCTGACCGCTAACGGAATTCATCTGTCCCGCTCTGTCTAGGGCCCCGACAGAGGGACACCACTTGCGTCCGGGTATGACTGGCTGACGACGGTTAAAAAGCCAGGAATGGTCATTCCGGTTTCACTTTGTCTGCCAAGCCTACTACCAGCTGTTACGGCTGTCAGGGCCTCCATCGAGGCCCAAGGGACAGATGAGTTCCGTTAGCGGTCAGGTGAACGTTCATCAACGAGCATCAACATTCCCTGACCTGAATCGACGAGACAACGATCTCGTGGCTCAATGGTAGGACATTTGACTCTGATCAAAGAGGTCGGGAGTTCGGGGCCCGGGTGGGACACCAATTGGGTCTAGATATGACCGGCTGATGACGGCTAATAGGCCAGAAACGGCCATTCCAGTTTCCCTTGTCATTGCCGGCAATGTTATCTGCCTACCGCTACCAGGTTGGAACTATTAAACAGCTCGTCTACATGTATCGCATGCACGTGACTGAAATATAGATACAGGTTGAGCGAAAAGCAACGATGGGGGGGG